GATGTTGAATAATTAAGAAACCATGTGTGCTACTGGTAGGAGTGTATAGTGTTATGCCCTGTAGAAAACAGCATGGAAGTTCCTCAAAAACTTAAAAATAGAATTACTTTATAATCCAGCAATTCCTCTCTTAGATGTATAACCCCAAAATTGAAAGTAATATCTTAATCGATGTTTGTTACACCCGTGTTCATAGCACCACTGTAGCTAAAACAATGGAAGCAACTCAGACATCCATCGACAGATGAATGTATACACAAAGTATGGTGTTGATTATTATGCAACATTAAGAAGGAAGGAAATTTTAGCTGGCACATGCTAAATATGGACAAACCTTGAAGACATTATGCTAAGTACAAAAGACAAAATACTGTACAATTCCATTTATGTGAGGTACTAGCAGTATTTGTGTCTCTGCGATTTGGGGTGGACCTCACAAAATTATAGAAACACAAAATAGAATGATGGTCACCAGGGGCTGGATATGCTAAATATGGACAAACCTTGAAGACATTATGCTAAGTAAAATCAGCCAGTTACAAAAAGACAAATACTGTACAATTCCATTTATGTGAGGTACTAGCAGTATTTGTGTCTCTGTGATTTGGGGTGGACCTCACAAAATTATAGAAACACAAAATAGAATGATGGTCACCAGGGGCTGGTAGGAGGAGGGGATGGGCAGTTTGATGAGCATAGACTTGCAGTTTTACAAGAGACAAAGGAATTCTGAGGCTGAATAATGGTGACGGTCACCAAACCGTATGTATTTGGGACCACTAAACTGCAAACAGTTAGGGTGGTAAATTTTATTTTTTGTACATTTTACCACAAAACATTGGGAGTAAAATCAATCAGATATGCTATGGAAATATTACGGGGGTTTTGTTTATGTTTTAAAATACCCACTTTTTTAAAAAAAGTAAATCTTGTACTAAAAATAAAGCAATCTGAAGAGGAGAACTCTCCTAAATAGTTAGCTGATACCCTTTTTGGAGTTCATTAGTGAATGAATCCCATAGAAAGTACCCATGGAGCTACCCAGTCATCCATCTTGCTATGTAGAACTGCTTTTGCTCCCTGTTTATCTCTTGGTTAGAAAGAAGCTCCCACCACCAGCACATTGTTTCATCTTTCCACTCAATGAGTCTTTGATTTTGCTAGAATTCACAAGGTGAGGGCGTAGTGAACTAATGCCCTTTTCAGTGTGTATCAACTTTTTTTTTTTTGGTACCAAGGATCGAACTCCAGACCTTGCGCTTATATAGAAGCAGGTAGCAGAACCAGTGAGCTCAATCCCCGGCTATAATGCCTTTTTCAGGAAGAAACTGAACTGATAAATAAGATTGCACTGCACAGCCTGCACAACACAGAGATAATCCTGAAAAATCAGGCTGTATCCTCCAAGGCAGGGTTGGGTGGAACAGGGCCAACATAAGGTTTCCACAGAGATGTGACCTTCATCTTACTCTATAGCCAAGGTTCGTTTTAGAATAAAAATCAAGTTCATTTTAGAATAAAACAGTGTTTTTAAAGCAAGGATGCTCCTGACCAAGGATTTGATTTCTAAGACATTATAGAAATAATACTTAAATGACATATACAACTTGCTCAGTATAACATAGTGATTATATACAAGGACTGGGCTGGAATCCTGCCTCTGTCACTTGCTGGTTGTGGGACATTTAGTAAATGATTCCATCTCAATAGGTCCAGTTATGGGATGGACAGTAAATAATAATATCCCTTACTTCATCAGGTTGTTGAGAAAATTAAATGAAATAATTTACACAGAAAATATTTATTACATTTCCTGGGACATAGTAAGTACTCATTAAGTCTGTAGCTAAGGTTTCACTTGTGAACCCCTGGAAAATAGTTGTTACAATCCTTTCAGAAAAGATGCAGCCGCAGAGGCTCAGAGAGGCTAACTAGCTTGTCAACACTACACAGCTGGTGAACGGGGTAGCCAGAATACCTCCACAAGACTCCAGACTCCTAAGCCGGGCGTGGTGGCACATGCCTGTAAACCCAGCACTCAGGAGGCTGAGGCAGGAGGATTGCTGTGAGTGCGAGACCATCCTAGGCTACATAGTGAGTTCCAGGTCAGTCTCAACTACATAGTGAGACCCTGTCTCAAAAAACAAAAACAAAAAAAAAAAAAACAAAAACAAGACTCCAGACTCCTGAGTTTAGGTTATTTTCCATTAGAGTATAGGTGACAAATGAAACATTAGCCAGTTATTTAACATTTGTTTTAAAATGCCATGGTATCATAGCATTTAAACAACATTCTTATACTTCTTTCCAATAATCACATTTTCCTGCAAGAAGAAAAGGAGAGGCTACTCCATCTTTAGTCCGTGAAATTAAGAGCAGTTTCATTTCTTAGGCTGCTTAAGATTTGAGATAACATGAAGAAACTTCATAAGCTACACCCTAGCCTGTTACTCATATTTATTATTTTTCTCCTACTAGTAGAGTTCAATCAATTTCCCTGAAATGATCACTCCCAGTCAAAAGTTAGCATGACTCCATATTACTATTTCCTTGTTCTGGGCACTAGATGTCACACTAAGTAAAAGTTTAGAAGTCACTCTCCAAAGCAGGGTGTGGCATTAGTGTCCAAACCGTAGCTATGAAAAATGACAAAGCTTAACTTAATATTTCTAGTGGAATACAATAAAAATGTACTTTTACTAACAAAAATACTTAGAAAAAGAAGTGTTAATCAGAAAATACAGTTGTAGTAGCAGCCTATTTTTCTGTCTGTTAAATAGACACACTCTGCTTCTGTGCACATAAAAATGATATTTCCTTCCATAAGCAGAGTGATTTTTTTAGAAGCAGCTTATACATTTATGTTCATAGTCATTTGTGTTCTGAGATGGTTAGAAGCTGTTATTCCTGCAGAGAACTGGACATCACCCTCTGTTGCCAGGAGTGGAGAAGGTGAAAGAGGAGATAATGACTATGAAGCTAATTAAACTATGAAATGATTCTGGGAGTCACCTTTCTGATGGCTTAAGCAAATGGTGCCTCCCAGCCTCTTCAAAATCATTTATTCCTTGATTTTGGCTCTCAGGAATCTAGGTGAGAATCAAGGGTTGCGATTTGGACATACATTTTTCCCTTTTGAAAGTACATGTGCTTTCTAAAAATGTGAAGGAATGTGGATTCAGTATGTTAATGAATGAGATGATTGTGTCCTATCACTTAACTGTATTACTGACACTTCAGTAAGTTTTCACCAAAATGCTTGGAATTCATTGGAATCCAGAGAGAATTCATTCAAGTCTTAGGTTTAGCAGTTTCTTTTTTCAAGGAACTCAGTCATGAGTTTGAACTGTGTCTAGTGACCTGCAGATAAGTATAAACATATTTCTACTTGTAATTAAAATTGTAAATAATGTTTCTTAAGTCTCACAGGTTTCTAAGTAATGTATAATGACAGGCAGTTGTCACTGGATATAATTGGTAATAGTGCTTTGTTTGTATTAAGATTTCTCTGCTGAATAGAGTTATAATTCAAATATTACCCTGGGTTTAGGATTCATGCATGTCTTTATCTTATTCAAGACATAGACAACTGATCATTTCAAGTGCATTCTTATTCTGTGTGATTTTATTGAGCCCTTGAATCCTGTTGTGACTTGGGACTTTCCCCCAACATGTTAACATTGCTGCATTCTTGTGTTTAGCAACCTAAGGCCCCTGAAGAAATCTCACTTTCTGCCTGCGAGCCGAGGTGGGTGGTGAGCACTGGTTTGCAGCCAGCCATGCTGTGTCCCCTTCACAGGACCAGGCAGAGACTGTTCATTCCTTCATTGGGTCTGGGACTCAGAAAGGCTCCAGCCCATCAGGGGACCTCAAGGAGAGGAAAAGCTCTCCAGAACAAAATACAGACAAGACAATGCTCTTCCAAGTCAAGCGTTGGATTTTGTTCAGTGTGAGTAGGAAGGTCCACTCTGCATTCACCCATGGGTGTTGAATCCCCGCTGCTCCGGGCTCTGAGGGATGCAGGTATTGCCCTGCTCAGATGAAGTAAAATCTGTGCCCTTCAGCCTGACTTGGACCATAACTGCCTAAGACAGTTTGTTAGCTGTTGGTGGCCTTTCTCATTTTCATTAACTTGCCTTTTGCTGTGGGGATGTTAGCTCAGACCCTCTGGACTGATTGACACTTAGAAGGAAAACTCAGCCTCAGCTGATGTCAGATCAGCCATTTAATGTGCTAGGCCTGTAAGCAACCAAAAACTGAGTGACCTGTATCTGCTATAAGGCAGCAGCAGAGTCAAAAGGGTAAGAGAAGCACACCATTCAAAGACACTGTCTTGGGTTTGGAATCCTAGGTTAAGAGCCAGACACTGTAAGAAGCAAAAGAGAACAATAAAACACCTGGGAGCACTCTACACATATGAGGTGAGATTTTAGAAACACACAATGTTTTTTAAAAATGTATACAATAAAAGACACATGACCATTAGTCCTCCTCAAAATACTCTCTCACTTTGAATACACTTATCCCGTCATTTATGGCCATGTGTCTTTTACTGTAATAAGCCTTTTATATTGAAACGTTCACCATGTTTCCCAGTCATCCCTTGTATTTATCCTATTTCCTCCTCACAGAAATCCAGCAAGAAAATATTCATGGAGAGACAAGGTAACTTCTTGAGGTCACTCAACCATCCAAAGTCTTTGCTTTAACTACTTTCACTCAGTCAAAATCAGGATGAACATCTACAACTTCACACAGCTTTGTAAGATTAGCCAGAGACCTCACAGGTGCAAGGTCCTAAGTTTGTTCCCTGGTACCCCCCCAAAAAAGATTAGCCACAGAAATTTCAGGTAGTGGATTTTTTTATCTTCTCTTTTTTGTTGTTCTAGTAATGGAACCAGGCCTCTGGCATGCTAGGCAAGAACTCCGCCACTGAGCTACACCCCCAGCCCAGCCCATGGGTTTCTAATGTATATTAACCCTATATTTATTTCTGATAGGTCATGGCTTGACAGCAGTCAAAGAAAAAGCTGGGGCCACCCTGGGGATTCACAGTGTAAATTCCGGATCTTCCGAAGGAGCCCAAACTGATGCTGAAAATGGAGTTCCCGAAAGTGAGTACAGTGTTGTTGACCTTGGACGATCTTGGCTTCATTACACTGTGTGCACATTCACATGGTTCCTAAGTTCACATCAGCAACACAAACTCCAACAGGATTTATTTCCATTTTGCAGACGTGACCACAGATCAAAACCCTGCCGGAAGCACCCCCACCTCTCCTCCAGTGGGCTCTGGCTCTCGGGGCATGCTCTCCGCCCTCACCAATGTGGTTCAGAACACTGTGAGTTGAAAGCTGCTTCCTGTTTTCCCTTGTGTCTCCTTCTTTTGATGTCTCTGTTTGCCAGTGACCTAGATACATCAGAGAAAAGATGGCCTTGCTCGTGCCTTTGGATTATGGTTTTGTTATACTTTGTGCTTCAGAGTAGGTGTAACCTGGGATCCAAAATAATAGGGCAACATGAAGTACAGTTTGTGTTTCAAAGAAAAGAGCTGTTCAGAAAGTATATTTTTCAACCTGATTTAACACTGTCTTTTTCAACTGCTACAAGGACAGTTCCTGGTTCGGGGAGAGAATACTCTCTGGAAGAGCTGAGACAGCTGTTTTTTCTGGATGTGCTAGATCTGGAACCCTCCATTTAAAAATAATAATAATTCAAATCAAAAAGGACCAGCAGTTTGTCCGGGGTAATCACCCAGAATGTTTCTGAAATGTTTCCAGATAACTAGGATTCACATTCCTTCCCCATTCCTATGTTCTAATTCCCACTCTCTCCCTTCCTTGAATAATGCTAAAATTAATCCCTCAAGTCCCTGCTTCTCTCCTTTTGTTATTTATTTTAATTTAAATTGACTTTTTGTTGTTGCTTTGTGGTGCTGGAGATCAAAGTCAGGGCCTTGATGCAGGTGCTAGTTAAGTGCTCTACAGCTTAGCCACACCACCAGCCTGGGTTTCTTTCTTTTCAAACGGATAATTATCTGCCTCCTTTTCTTCCCCCCAATACTGGGGATTGGACCCCAGTCTTTCCAAAGACCTCCATCTCCAACCCTTTTTTGTGTTTATTTTTTTTATTTTGTATTTTGAGTTAAAATTCCAAGTCACTAAATTGCCAAGGGTGGGCTTGAACTTATTATTCTCCTTGCCTAGACACGAATGCACTACCACTCCCAACTGTGCATTTTAAAATCTGTTTTATAGCATGATTATTGATTGGCTCACATATTTGAATTAAAGTCTGAATATTCAAGATGGAAATGATTAATAAACATTAATTCAGTAAATTTGAATGTTGCTACTTAAATGGTGAATTATGAAGATTGGAAAATGTATATAGATAACAATGAAATAATAAAATGTGTAATTTTCACATAAGGTGGGAGGGAATACAGCACAGTGCATATTACAATCACAGTGACACTTTTGGGGCCTGTGTACAGAGGCAGTTTCAAAGAAATGATCCAGTTCTATTCCCTTAAACAGATTACATAACTCCTAGTTGTTTTAGTTTGTTTGGAAAGAAACAGTGCTTGACAATGGGATTTTCAGAGTGATAACTGTATAACAGAACATGGAAATCAAGCTGTCTTATTTCATTACTACATTAATTATCTGTGGTTCTTGCTTTTTCTGAAAATATATGAGCCATCTGAAACAGCCTGAGGGTCCTATACTCCAGGGTTCTAGATTAAAGAATTTCCTAAATTGACAGGAGTGTTTTACATTTTAATAAACTGATCCAAGTAATTCTATTACTTAGGTTAAAATTTTTAAAACAAAAACAAACAACTGGGGGCAAGGGATTTAGCTCAGTGGTTTTGCTGCCTGCCTTGCAAGCACAAGGACCGGAGTTCGATACCCAGTACCAAAAAAACAAAACAAAACAAACAAACAAAAAAAATAGCAATTGGGTCTCTGCTAGTTTTATATCTTACATACATATCTGTTCATCTGTAGAGAGCCAGTGAAAGTAATCCCTAATGTGCTTTGGTTTTCCCAAGCATCATTTTTTGACAATGAATTCTTTTTTTGTTCTTTCTTTCTTTTTTGGTATTGGGGTGGAACTCAGGTCCTTGCTCTTGAGGCAGGTGGTGGAACCACTGAGCCAAATCCCCAGCCTCTAAGTGTCATTTTTTAATAACACTGCATACCATACAAATTATACAACATGTGATTTTCAAGGGAAAAGAAAATAGGATTAAATGGATGATAAATCTCTTGATGAGGAAAAAATTGTGACTTTATATTGATTTTAATATTTGAAGATAGTGCCAGTTTCCTAGGAGTTGCTGACTGCTGCAAAACAGCAAAATGTAGAAAAACTAATCTCATGCAACTGTCTCATCTGCAGGGAAAAAGTGTCCTAACCGGAGGCCTTGATGCCTTGGAATTCATCGGCAAGAAAACCATGAATGTCCTTGCAGAAAGTGACCCAGGGTTTAAGCGGACTAAGACACTCATGGAGAGAACCGTTTCCTTGTCCCAGGTTGAATTATATACTTGTACATTTTTCTTCTTTCAGTCAAGAAAGCAAATAGATTTTTATTTCTCTTTTTGGATAGATCTTTTAAAGCACATGTTCAAGTCCAAATGGCACCAAAAGAACAGAAAGTGAAAGTTGAGTTTCTGACACGCCCCTTTTCCCAGCCTCAGCCTCTTAATTCCTCAAGGGAGGTGACCACCATTAAGAATTCCTTATGTATGCTCTCAGCTCTCATACAAATACTTGCGCGTGAACATGGAGATACATGTATGTGAATGTATAGACAAATATGCATATGCACGTAGGTACTGTTTCCACCAACTGATAACATACTTGTCACATTGTTTTGTATTTTGCTCCATTTGTTCAGTAATTTCTTAGGATTATTCTATTTATGCCATCGTATGTATTCCAGCTCTGCACTTATTAATTGCATGGCTTTCCGTGGGTTTCTTAGAATAGAACCTAACACAATACTGTGTGTATACATATATCGAGAGGGATGTATACATTTTATTTCAGTTAATTTCAGTTAAGACAGTGGTGATGTAAGAGGCTGTGGGACTGAGTCCACAAACTTGCTAACTGTGGCTTTTTGGCTATAAAATGAAAAATCGGATTGGGTTAGTTTCCTAGATTAACATAATTTTTGTGCTATCCTCACAATTTTTAATCACATCCACCTTTGGTCCACTGTTAAAAGGTGCACTGCTGGGAGCAGTGTGTCACTAAGGAACCACAGTAGTAGCCTGCAGTGTTTGTTCACATCTGAGGCACTGTGGCAGGTGTGGCACGGGACACTCAGCACGCCCGAGTGGGTCAGCAGGTCGCTACACTGACCTTACAGGAACACCACCGACTTGGCCTCCCTCCAGATAGTGAATGTTCATTCCTTCTTCATTTACTCACTCATTTCACAGATGCATTTTGTTGTCTACACTGTGCCAAGTACTGTTTCTCAGTAGCCGAAATGAATAGAAATCTGTATCTTGAAGGAGCTTTTGTTCTGGGGAAGACATACATAACAAACTATCTCATTTAGTAGATGATGAGTGCTGCGGAGCAGGAAGATGTGGGAGGAAGGAGCAGGTAAGTAGTAACTGTGATGGTGAGGGGACAATAGAGACACGATGGGATGTTCATGGAGACAGTGACATTGAGTGCAGACATGAGGGGGAAGATGGGGCTGAGCATGCAGACACCTGGTTGAAACACATCCCAGGGATAGGAAGAAACTCAAGCAAAGGTCCAGAGACAGGAGCTTCTGGTAGCCACAAGGGGCCAGCAAGGCTGTCACATGATTCAAAGCAATGAAGCCGGGTGAGAGCTGTCAAGGAGGGGCCAGAGTGGTGATGAGCACAGGCGATGGCGGATCACGGAGCACACTGGTGAAGGACCTTCAGTTCTTCTCTTAGCAAAAGAGGGAATCTGTTGCAGCATTTGCCTAAGAGGAATGACTGGAACTAACTTGTGCTTTGAAAGGATCGCTGCAATTACTATGTTGAAAATGGACTGGAGAGGAGAGATGAGGGCACGGAGACCATTAGAGGATGTATCACTCTAGTTCCCCCCAGAAACAGATGTTGGGAAGGGCTGAGATACGAAAGGGTGCTACCAGGGGAGGTTCCTATGTGGAAGAAAGCAGGCAGGGACTTGGGAAGCCCGGGAGAACCATTAGACCAAGATGCAGGTCTGACCCCAGTGAAGGAAGAAGGGGAGAAGAGAGCTGGGAGTGTCCAGACGATGGGCTGCCTAAGCAAGGTTGGGCAACGCCTTGGCAGAGTCCTTCAGACAAAGTCTGCTGGCAACAGTAGGGGGAACTCAGTTTACCACAGCAAACAGATTTTACAAAGAGGTAGGGGATGGGAGTCCCCAGGTTCCTAATACAAAGAAGCAAAACACATTTGAGGTGATAGGCCAGTGACCCTCATTCGATCATTATGCTTGCACACATGTATCAAAGTGTCACTGTGCCTGGTAAATCTGTACAACTATTACGTATTCATTTTTTTCAAAAGAATCCACTGGCAATAGAGCTCCCATCTTCCCAGGAACAGGACAGCCTCCATGCCCAGTGGGCAAGTGGCTGGCAGAGAGGAGCCTGGGATGCCACAATCTGGATTTCCAAGCCCAGAAGCTGGAGCCCTTGATCCTTCTGCTCCCTGGAGTAGGAGGTCCAGCCACAGGGCTCACTCACACACCCACCCCAAGGAGCAGTCGGTGCAATCGAGACGGTAGATATGGGTGCTCAGAACAGTATGGCAGCTCTGTAGGTGGTGATGAATGGCTGGTCCTGGGTATCATTTTAAAACAAATCCTGATTTTCTGATGGAGAATGAGCTGTGAATTAAAAGGAGTATCAGGGATGGCTCCAGGGCCTTTGGAGCAACTGGAAGAGTAAAGCTGCCATCATCCAAGGGAGATCTGCTGTATTTTTCCCTTTCACACTAGAGGAAACTGTTAGTTTTCTGACAATGGAACAAAATACCCGAGACAAATAACTTAAACAGAGAAAGGCAGGTCACAAGTTGAGCCCACCTGCGTAAGACCCTGTCTCAAATGCAGAAAATAAAAAAGGGTTGGGGATATAGCTCAGTGCAAGGGCCCTAGGTTCAATCCCTAGTACTGATTCATAAATAAATAAATAAGAGAAAGATTTATATTGGCTTATGGTTTCAGAGGTTTCTGTCCATAGGTAGCTAGTTCCATTGCTTTGGAAAGTGCCTCATTGTAGGATGCATGTGGTGTGGATGCTGCTCACCTAAAGCAGCCAAGAAGCAGAGAAAGGGGAAGGGGCTGGGGTTCCAATATCTCCTTTGAGGGCACACCCCCAATGACCTTACTTCCTTCCACTAGGCCCCGCCTCCTATAAGTTCCATGACTTCCCAGTAGTACCGCAGGCTGGTGACCAGGTCTTTAACTCACGAGCCTTTGGGGAACACTTCAGATCCAAACTGTAGCAGAAACATGACCATAGGAACCCAAAATGTTCACACACACACTGTCTAAATTTGTTAATCTATCCCAGCACTGCAGAGAACATGCTGTAAATAACACAGGGACTGCGTGGCTCTTGGTTTCCACTGATTTAAGTAAGCCTCCATGGCTTACCTGCCACAGGAATTCTTCCATACCAGCATTCCTTCCTGCTGTTTAAATCCATCTCCATCTCTTTTCCAGAGGGAAAATAGAGCCAGCATCTTTTAATTCCACCCCCCACTTTTTGAGGGAATCCTAATCACTCTGGAGTGATGTTTCCCCTTTACTTTCCATTTCATCTCTTCTTTCCTCTGTCCCATGGTACAAATTTAGAGATGGAAGTTGATGTAGAAAGGAAGCAATCCCAGAGCCATTTGGCTTTTTTATGTTCCCACCACCAGACCCTGATATCAATATGGGTAGTTGTGTTTTATTGCAAGTGTTAAAACTTCCCAAAGATGGTTTCAGTAGGTTGTTTTGGAAACTTTAAAATGCAGAGCTGTACTATTTAGTCCTAAAGATAGATAGGAGAGAGAAATCTTTCTACAGCCCAGTGGGTTCTTGGCTAACAACCTTAAAAAACCAAAAGGAGAAGGAGGCTGATTGTTTTCTTGGCACAGGATAAACACCAGGCTCTATTCTTGAACAATCTTCCCTGTGTCCTTGTGGTTCTGGCCAGAGTATTTATGGTGCTCACCACAGGTATTAAAGGATGCTATAAACTTAATGCCCCAGTAAACTTAATGAGAAATCAGATTAAATGCTTAGAATCAAAGAAAGCAAGCACAGAAAATTAGGACTGGCTGATAGACTTGTATTCATTTTGTTGTCTTTATTTAAATAACAAAAAATAACTGGTGAAGCTTAATGTGAACAGGAATTCAATTCAGCCATACTTTTGGAGACCTATCTGATCATCTGCTAGATTATTTATATGCAGTATATAGTAATAAATCCATTATGAGTTTTTATTTTTTTCATTGAACAAAATTTAAAGGGCTGGGGATTTATCTCAGTGGTTCCACCACCTACCTTGCAAGTGCAAGGGCCTGAGTTAGAGCCCCAGTACCCCCAAAAAAATTTTTTTAAATAAGATAACAGAGAATCAGACTAGTTTATTTCTGGAAGTCTGCTAGGTGTAGATTTTGCATTTAATCCTGTCACAAGAGATTAGATTTCCTAAGTGTGCTTAAAACTTGCTCATTTTAGAAAATGTGAACAGTTTAGAAAAGAAGAAATGCTACCACATATGGGAGACACTTAAGTGGAAACCACAGTCAAGCTTTTGGTGAGGTTCTTTCCAATCTCTTATCCTTGGACATAGAAGTTTTGCTTATTTTTTCTTTCCTCATAATGAAAGTATAAAATTCAAAATGGAATATTATTTAAAAATTATCCCTGACATCAATCAAAAAATAACTTTTTAGAAACTCCAGAGTGGCCAAAAGCTACCTTTCCCAGTTACACAGTCAGCCCTGTGCTGCCCTCCTCCACTCCCCCATGTCTCTCATGGGAAACAGGGCTCTAAGTGTAGGTCTGTGTACAACTTCTGTGTTTCTGCAGATGTTAAGAGAAGCCAAGGAGAAGGAGAAGCAGAGACTGGCGCAGCAGCTCACGGTGGAGAGAACTGTGCACTACGGGATGCTGTTCGATGAATACCAAGGTTTGTCACACCTGGAAGCCCTGGAAATTCTGTCCAATGAGAGCGAAAACAAGGTACTTCTTCACTGTCATTTTCAAGAGTGTGCTTACTGGAGTGTTTCCTTAAATCTGAAAGCAATGGGAAAAAGTCATGAAAATATTGCCTTTTTAGAGCATCGTTATTCTTGTGCTAAAGTTATAAGTACAGTGCAGCCTAATGAGCCCTCAAGCTCATGTAATTAATTTCCTGACTGTCCTGTCAAATTCCGGACAAATTCCGGCAAAGCCCCAAGAGGGCTTGTCAAGACACCATCCCTGCCCCTAATGCTATAAATGGCTGTTCTAAAACATGGCAGCTGGGCTTATGGACCTCTGCCTGCTTTTGGCGACATTGTACCCGGACCACGTCTCCTTGCTACCCAGTGAAAACACAGCCACTGATGCGTCTTTAGATTGTAGGAATTTGATGCATTTTGTTTTATGAGTTATATTGTTATATATATTTGGCCATCTTGTCAGGATATCTAAGTCATAAAAAACAATCCACTGAGAATTAAAGTTCTGTTAGGGAATGCACCCTGTGTAGACACCTGGGAAAACCAGCCTCTTCGATGACCCTGCAGAGTCACACTCTTACTCTGTGGCCCTAGGAAATTTAAAAAAAAAATTCTTTTTGAGACATGCTGTCATTAAATTGCTAAACTGCTCAGGCTGGGCTCAAACTTACAATATGCCTGCCTCAGCCTTTCAGACTACTGGGATTACAGGCATGTACCAGCACACCCGTTAGATGATTTGGGTGGATGGAGGTGAGATAGGGTCTCCTTAGATGTAGTTAAACCTGGCCTTGAACTCACTATGTAGACCAAGCTGGCCTCAAACTTGTGGCAATCCTCCTGTCTCAGCCCACCGCCACTACCCAAGTGCTGGGATTACAGATGTGTACCACCTCACCTAGCTTAGGTGGTTTTTTTAGGATATACAGTGGTGTGTGCACATGTGAGCGCATGTGTGCGCATGTGTGTGTGTGTGTGTGTGTGTGTGTGTGTATTTCTGTCTTTATTTGGCACACGACACTTACATAGTCACCATTCTAAATACTATAAAACTGTTACCCCATTCACTTGTATGTATGGCTTTCTTTTGAGGCTGTCAGCCTGATTGTCCTCTGATGTTGTCCAGGGGGCCACAAGGGTTGTGGGCCATTCTGGTGACATTCATGGGGAAAAGCAGGTCTTCAGACAGGAAGCTGAGCTTGGAAGTGAGTCTCAGATTGAAAAAGTAATTTTTCAATGCTCTGTTACATTTGGATTTGGGGAAAACTGAGTCATTTTTGATGCCTGCTTAATCTAGAAAAGACCTCCGTGGCCACATAACAACCAAGAGCCAAAAAAAGATGGGAATACTCTCCCCCACTCTGGGTTATTAGGCTCCAAGTTACTGTCTGTGTTTATTTCCTTTTTGGACATCCATCAGGGAAAGTCTTCTAGTTTAAACTGTTCAAGGATTTTTTTTTTTTTTACAAAGGCAAGGAGGGTCACAAGATCAAGACTAGTCTGAACAACTTAGTCTGGGCATGTCCAAATAAAAAGGGCTAGGGATGTAATTCAGTGGCAGAGTATCCCTGGCTTTTATTCTTAGTACTGGGAGATAAAAATATAAAATCATAACTCTTGTGCCGATACAAAACAAACATATACCAAAAGATTTATTTAGCTCCCTAATTCAATAAGGAAGCCAGGAAGATGTTATCACCAGTTCAAAGGAAGAGCCAGAGAAGCACAAATTTACATGGAGTCTAGGAGTTTTTAAATAAATGCACAGACACCTGACTTTGCCATCGCCAAAGGTTGTCTGGCCCCAACAGTCACACATCTAGTAGCAGAGTGATTATACTTTTCCATCAGCCATGCACAATTTACACAGTGGAAAAACCACTGCCAGAAATTCAGAAGCCAGTAATCTGGTAAAGTGTGCTCTAAATATGCCATTTTCCATGGAATCACAAATATTTTCCAGGCAAAACTGGGTGATTACACATCACACTGTGTGATCTTGGATCTCTCTTACTTCAGTCTCCTTATCTATGAAATGGGAATAATAATAAGACCTATCCCATAGGATTATTTTTAAAATTAAGTGAAATAATCCAGAGTTTTAGTTTTAACTTAAGGCCAAAGTCTTGAGTTATGACCTGAATGCAAATTGAGACCTAGTGAGCCAGAAGCAGGTCCCAGTGGGCTACAGACTCTCCCAAGAAGAGAAGGGACACCAGAGAGCCAGATTCCTGATGATGTTATAGAAGGGAACACTCCTTCCAAACAATAACCACCTTCCATTTCATCCTCCCTTCCTACAAGTGAAGATGTTAACTTGAATGGTGAGTACAGTATGAAATTGTTGTTTCTGGCAAACTACACATATTTTATAAATTTTTGATGTATACACTAGGAAAATTATTGGTGTTCCTGATAAATTATGCACATTATACAACCTTTATTATGAAAAGGGTAGTTAAGCAGTGCTTTGGGAGGTTCAGAATGCATTATGGGTATTTCCATTATTTCTTATGGGAAAAATAGTCTTGATTTACATCCAACTTGAATCATAACCATCTCTCTCAAATGAATTGCATTTATAAATCAAGGGTCCACTGTAAATGATAAATCAGAGTACAGGGAGGACAAAGACCAGGGCATTCATTCCTTGAGGCAATGCGTTTGAGTCTACTTGGTCCTGTGGCCCTGTATGCTAACTTTTAATCTAACCATGTGTTCCAGGAGGTTTGGGGCATGTGGTTTCAGAAGTCCTGTACCTCTGCATATCCATCTCATACACACCTCTGACCAACACCCCCACAACTTAGTGTTAAAAACAGTAAACAGAAATCAAAACAGCACCACACATTTTAAAGAAAAGATTTGTGAGGCAGACTGCCTATCTTGTGTCCTGAACAGCAAGTATCCTAGTGCCATGCACACAGTCAGCATCCAGGAGTATTTATTGAGGAATACACTATTATTTACCTTTTAACTCATCTGAAGATTCAGTACATGTGTCCATGGAAGGATGAAATGACCTAGGAAGAAGAAGCATGAATGTGCAAGCTGCTGAAAGGAAGGCTTAGAAGGTCAAGGCCAGATGGACCGGCCAAGAGCCATCAAGCAGGACTCATTTGCTTCTTCCCACTGAACTCCAAGGCTAATGGGCTTCGAGTCCATGACTCCTTGCCGAGCCTCCTTCCTCCCAGAGCCTGGAGCACGATGCATGATGCTTAGAGATGTGCATGGCCTTTCAGGAAAATGGAGTCCTGCATCCTGGATTTTCTGGCTACCACTTCTCCTAGCCTGCTGTGCTAATCACTCCCATGATGAATATTAAAACACATGCCAAAGAGGGTCGCAGCTCCTCCGCTGCAAGAATTTGCCCTGCAGAGTGAAAAAATAAATAAAAACACTACCTTGCAGTTGTGTTTCATTTTTAATATGGTATTCTATGCCCTTTCACCATTTAGGAAATTCTAATTAGTCTGCAGAGAATGGCTGGCCGTCTGTACAAATCATTTTTAAGTGTGTACAAAGGAGAGTATCCAAAGAGAGATTCTGGAGACATTGATAGGGTGACCTCAGTCCAAGCATCACCTCCTCACGGTGAAGCACCTGCAAGCTCCTCCGTGTCCCCACTGTACCCTTCGTGCACAGCTGTCATGGCATTTATTAGCTGGCATGGGCCTCCCTCCTGTAGACTGCAAGCTCTCAGGAAATAAAAATGGGTCTTCTCCAGTTTTGTAACCTCAGCATCCTATCCACATAAACCCACATGTGGATATGCAACATTTCTCTGTTTATTTACTTATGTGTATATATATGCATGCGTATATAATTTATTGAGCATTTCTATAAATATTTTAAATACATTTCATTTAATCCTCAAAACAATCTTATAACGTAGATGCAATTAGTCCCCATTTCACATCTAAGGAAACTTGTACCATAGAAAGGTTAAATAAATGACCCAAGGTCAATAATTCATAAGTGAGGAGCTGATATTTGAACACAGTGTTAGGTCAAAGTGTATTTTTAACTATTCTGAGAGGAGTTACCGCCACCATTTATTCAGCATAGTACACATTTGTGCAGTGTTTTTCCTTATCTCTTTCACCACACAAAGGATTACAAGAAAGTGTGGGTCTCACTTCACAAAGGAGAAAGCTTGTGTAACCTGAAGTAAAACCCAGGAGCTCGAAAGTGTGGTTAATAGGTAGCAAAGTCCACACTCAACCCAGCATTACCCCACAGATCACCTGGGTCCCAGGAAAACTGGTGACAGCTGAGCAGAGAAGATGACAGTTGTGCTGGCCTAATTCTTTTCTTTTCTTTTCCTTTTTTTTCCAGGTTCAGTCATTTTTAGCATCACTAGATGGAGAGAAGCTGGAACTCCTAAAAAATGACCTAATTTCCATTAAAGACATCTTTGCAGCCAAAGAATTAGAGGGTGAGGAGAATCAAGAAGAACAAGGTAAAGAAAACAAGTTACAAGCAAGATAAACTTGGTATGATCCTTATGAGACTGCTGTTAATAAACACAGCCCTTGAGACAGGAGAAATCACATCATTCAGCTGCTTCTCCTGTGTGCCTCCTGAATGCTCCATGCATTTGCTGTAGTTGCAGGAGCTGGGCACATTGGTTTATTACTGTCTTTCGCTGGGCTGGAGCTCCTGTTCTTTCCTGGCATCTGCCATAGTCCCGGCGTGCCCTAGGCATGCAGTGAATGCATATGGTCTCATGAACAAAGAGTGCAGTGTGCTGAGCCCCAGTTACAGTTTGTGTGCCACTGTCTAATTTTATCTGCACATGAGTTGTTTAGTGTGATTAATGTTCATGGCGGGCCAGTCCTGCAAAGGATTTCTCTGTGTATTTTTCTTAGTCCTTTTAACCCACCCATATAGGAGACAGGGTATGTTTTTAAGTGTCTTGTACTTCAGCTAGAAAGTACAGTTCTGGGCCAGGAGTGCAGCTCAGTGGCAGGGCACTTGGCCATCCTGTGTGAGGTCCTGGGTTCAATCCCTGGCACCATAAAATAAAATATGAAAAAAATTGAAAACACAGTTCTGACAAAGGCTGAACCATTTCCCACAATGCACAAGAACATGATGTGCCATCACCGAAGTGACCTAAGCACACACTTTCTGAAAACCTTCCCCCTAGATAGTGACCTGACCCCAGGGAGACCAGATCCTATTTCATGAGAAGTAAGGCTTCATTAAGAGGGAAAGGTGGATTCAAAGTTGGGCATACCTAATAGTTTCTCTGGGATGTCCACTGGGAGTAGAATAGAGTCAAACATTTGTTACGTCTGTGGAGAGTGATTTCTTCCTGAGGTTTTAGCCAAGTGCCGCACTACAGTTGCTTTATGTAGGTTATGCTGAAAATTTGAGCACCAGGCTGCCTTCTCCTGGGGCCATCTACAAGGCCCCACTGGAAACATTTTCATCACTTTCCTGTATGTGGCCTTGGACAAGTTACAGAGCCTTTCTGAAACTCAGTATCGTCATCCGTAATGGACACATATTTCCAGGGCTGTTCTAGGGACACAGTGAGGTACCCTGTGTAAAAACCTGTAGCCCAGTGTCTGGTACGAAGAACCACTCAGCAACGTTAGCTGCTGTTATTATTTAGATACTGACACAATGCCAGGAAAAGAGTAAAGGTGTAATAAATTGAAGTTTTTATTTATTATTTCATTTGTTATTACACACTACATGGAGTAATAATGTGTGCATTCATGGCGTCAGATCATTGGAAGTGTCTTGTACCCACATACCTTTAAGCAAAGCTTGAACACAGCCTTCATGTGCTGGAGCCTTGATCTTTAAGGTAAAATTATCCTAAGTGTTCAGATAGTTTCCCTCTTTAGCTCCACATACTGACTTTATATGCTTTCAGCTTAATGAGGTTTATCCTTATTGAATCAAAATAAAAGAATCAATTATGCTGGAGCATAGAAAAAGACCAATATCAAAGAAACCATCAAAGAAACTTTTTTTAGGATATTTGTGTGTTTCTACAAATATTTCCAAACACGACAGCCTTATGTTTGGGGTTTTTTGTTTGTTTTTTGTTTGTTTGTTTTTTGGAGGCAGCGTTGTCTTTGTTTTTCTAATGAAGAAACTCAGCCAGTAGCTGTCAAAAGTCATGCAGCTCCCATTGTGTACAAAAAAAAGAAGCTAATGGGCCTTCCCTGGGTAGACTAACCACTGCCAAAAGCAATCAGGATATTTCTCTCCAAGGCTCAGGATGCCAGAGATAGACATTGATCCTTCTGAGATGTCATTCAAAAACGATATAAAAGGATCCCAGTTACCCCTAACATCGAAGAGATACTATTTCCAAGACAAATTAAAGCAGTGTTGCATTCCCATCTGATTCTATCCTCAGAGAGGAAACCTGATTCCATATAGTTAAATAGAAAATGGTATTATGGACAGTGTGTTCCCACTGTAGTACAGAGCTTCAGCAATTGAGATATTTTTCAAATACCGTGTGTGTGTCTGTGTGTGTACATGTGTACATGCACGCAGGCAGTGAATGAAGTGCTAAACAGCATGCTTTGAGAAGTGGTAGATTTGTCTCTCTTTAAGTGACAAAAATCTGTTATTTCCCATAATATATCCATTTCCCAGAGGGCATCTCCAGATTATCAAAACACTATCAATTTTAATCAACTTAATTTAATTAATAAATGTCATTTAAACACTTAATGAAGCACTGGAAGCAAAGAACAGAGGTGTTGCCATTTAGTCCACCCAATTATGATGAAGTGTCACAGCTCCAAGAAGGTTGAGGGGTTGCCCACAGCCCAGAGAGAAATTTTATTGGGGCCAGGGATGAGCAGAAAATCCATGGACCAGGCTCTAGCCCAAACCAGAGAATTTTTTTTTCTTTGTAAGCGTTTACATTCCTAAAAATCTCTAACAACTAAATATTTATTTGGTAGTCTCAAGAAGGGTAAGAAAGTATCCTTTTTAAATTAGTTTAATATCAGGCTCCTATACATTGAATAATGTTAGCAAGTGGTGTGTGTTTGTCTTTCCAGCAGCATGTAATTTTATCACACTAGAATGGGTCTCTGATTTGGTTTACTATGACTGTGAGGAGATTTTAAAAGACCGTTTTCTGTTTTATTGCCTTGGGGAAGATCTTTCTGGCCATGTGTACAGACTGAGAATTGTAGTAATAGACAGTCTTTGTTGCATCATTTATTATTATCTATTTTTAACCTATTTCTAGTTTTCTCTGTGATTTTTTTTCCTAAATATTTGCTAAGTTGTTGGTATGCTTTATAGAATTAATGCATACTTAAAAGCTGGAGCTACCCAAAGTACTTGTGGTCTGATTTAGTATTGATTCCTCCCAAATACATTTAATCTCCCTATGTTTATATCTGTAGCACATAATAATTTATTTACATAAAGTGTTCTCGTTTACAAAACACTTCCGTGTTTGTTGTAGTATTTGGTCCTTATAACTACTCTAAAGAGCTGGGTGTATTTTAATCTCCTCAAATCATAAATGAGGAAATGAAAGCCGAGGCAGCCTTGCGATAGGTCCCAGACCACATAGCCACTGAAGCTGGGAACCAGGGTGGCAGCCCGGGCTGCCTTTGTCCAGGGCTCTTTCGGTCTGGCAGCACAGCCTCATACAGAGGGACAAGGAGCAGGAAGCTTGGCAATGATGTTTTCAAGCCCTGCCCCAGCTTCTCAGCCCTTCATTTGCATGGGTAATGTGTTCGCCTTGAAGGCTGTGTCCTGTACCACCTCCTCAGAGAAGTTTCCTTATCACCATCTAAGAACTGGACTAAATGCTGCAGTCAGAGCACTTACCTCTTTGGGTTAAATTCTTTCTCTCCTTGTGTCTAGCTCAGGAGCAAAGACAGGTGCCTCTCTACTCCCAAGCCAATCTCCCTCTCTCTACAGCGCCCACCTTGCAGGCCTGGTTCCTTGGACCCTACCCTTGCTGGAAGGTTCCTCCCCTGACATCTGTGGAACATCACACTCCTCCTCCAGGTCACCCAGATGTCACCTTCTCAGCTTCCCTCTTACCTTAATCTGCTCCAGCTGCTGCAACAAAACACTATATACTGTGTAGCTTACAAACAGCAGAAACTTACTTCGCAGTTCAAGAGGCTGAAAAGTGCAAGAACCAAGAGCTGCAGGTGTGGTAGCTGGTGACAGCGCCCTCTGGCTGAGACCTCACTTGGTGCAACAGGCCAGCCAGCTCTGCAGATCTCTTTTCCAAGATGGCTGATCTCTTTCATGAGGGCTCCATGCTCCTGACGCGACCAGCTCTCCAAAGCCCCACCTCCTAACACCAGCTCTTTGACCATTATTTTGATATATGAATTTGGGGGACACAAACATTCCAGCCACAGCACCTCCTGTTTAAAATTCCTAAGCTCCCGCCGCCCCAGTTCCTCTCCCTGGGTTTATACTTCTCCATAAAAAGTATCACTTGACATGTTTTACTGATGTTTTGTTTATTAACCTGTCTCCCTCCTGAGAATATGAATGACAGGTAGTAATAAACTGATCTATACCAAAGGTTTCGAACAGAGACCCACAAGCTACCCCAGCTATCTTTATGACCTGCCAATTAACCATTTCATCTATAAAACTGAAAATAGCTATCCAGATAGTATTTCTCATGTGGCATGATCCCACTGAAGGTACTGCCTTCACCCACTGGCACAAATTATAGTATCTGCTTCTCAGAAGGTTCAAAAGTCATGTAATCAAGACAAATTTAAGGATTATTTTTAACCCCCTCCCCAAAGTAGTAAACCTATGGTGAAACCAATTCTTTAGCACCTACCAGAGGTTTAAAATGCCATCTGTATCTCATGGGTACAAATGACAGCAACAAGATTGTAGCATTTAAAGATCTCTGTTGCTCACTAGTAATATTAATTTTTTAATTGTATGATATATTTATGTAATTAATAAATTACTGATTCAGTGGGTATTCATTTTAGCACTTATTACTGTGTTCTAAGCACTGTGTTTGATGCTGTAGATTTAGAACTGAGTCAAACAAATACTGTTTTCCGCCGTTAGAGAGCTTCTAGTCTGAAGACAAGACAGATCATTAAGAAGCACTTTAGAGCCTGGTGTGGTGTCACTCACCTGTAATACCAGTACTTAAGAAAGCTAAGGCAGGAGAATCTCAAGTTCAAGCCCAGTCCGGGCAATTTTGGCAATTCAGCAAGACTATGTCTCAAAATAAGAAAATAAAAAAGGGCTGGGGGTATAAATAAACAAACATATATTTTTAAAGGCTGGGTATGTAGCTCAAAGCACAGGCCCTGGGTTCAATTCCCTGTGCTGGGGGAAAAAAAGAAACAGGTCCAGACAGGCACCCTGGGGAGACCTGGGGAAGTTTCCCCAGAGAGATGGTGGTATTACATCAGCTCATACACATCCCATTGAGACCAATTCTGCTTTCTCAGCACTATGTCTCTGGAGACGTGGAATGGCAACCTGGGAATTATTAGGGTTGCAACGCACTGCATAACAGTGCTCTGTTGTAAATACATTGCTGTCCCAGGTCTCTCAGGCCAAGCAGAGGTCATTCATCCATTCCTTCAGTCTCTCTTTGAACAAAAAGCTGTTGACCACATGCACCTGTTCATTCCCTCCCAGCCTCTGGCTGACTCTAGGCCAGCCTGGAGCTGTCCACAGCAAGACCTTCCCAGCCGTCCACCCGGCAGCAGCCTGCTGCCTCCCTGCTGGTGGCCAGTGGGCAACATCCATCCTCACTGCCAGCTTCATGGGCAGCCAGAGGGCAGACTGCCACGGCCTGACCGAGCCTACCCAGACTGCAGGCTGGTCCACTGGGGAGCTACACGCTCAGCAGGATGAGGAGTAAATCATGGTTCTTACTTCTGTCATGTTCTATTTCTAGGCCTAGAAGAAAAGGAAGAAGAGTTTGCTCACATGCTTACAGAGCTTCTCTTTGAATTACATGTTGCAGCCACGCCTGACAAGCTCAACAAGGTCGGAACCATCCGAGTCTGTGTTTCTGGTTTTACAGAGGGTGGGGTGGGCGAGGCTGTCACTCATAAAAGTCCAGAGATCCGCACGAGATGTAAAACCCCCAGACCCCCCATGGCACAGAGAGGGAAGAGGAGTTTAAGGTCAGTAATTAAGATCTGAGGATGCATCATAATAAAATGCAGAGGTAGAGAACATGTCAGACTGTGTCATGAGGCTGATACTGTAGTTGCAGGTTTAGTAGTAATATCTTCAGGTTAGAAGGCTGAGGGGTACAGAATCACCAAGGGACTCTTTTAAATTCCACTGCCCCTTTTTTAAATTTAAAGACACGTGTCAGAATTAGGCAGAGAGAGGTGTCCGCCAGGAAAACCCCTCAGATCTCCACCCACCTGGAAGCAGTGCTATCTTGGGTCCAAGAACTTTCAGCGTTAGCAGTCTGGGTTCCTCTAAGAATACAGCAGTGTGCTTTGCAGGTTAGTACAGGTCTTGCTGTTGGATCTCTTAAGATATTGATCATTACTTACTCAAAGCTATTCTCTCCCTCTCTCTCTCTCTCTCTCTCTCTCTCTCTCACACTCCTTTTTTTTTTTTTTTTTTCCTTAGCCAGTAGTGGTTTCCATAGGCTTCATTATCAAGGTGGGAAAGGAAAGGGCAGAGTGAGGTGGAGGTGTTGAGATGAGTAATTTCTTTGTGTCCGATAAGGGTCACAAATTCTGGCAGGTCAGTGACTTGGACACAGTGGAAAATTGCTTCATCCCTCTCCCTGAAGCACCTGCCACCACCACTCAGAGAGGTGCATGAGGAGGCTGCAGGTTTACATGGGTTTATTTACATAGCCAGGGTCAACCATTATCCCTAAAATAGGATATGCTGCACACAGTTTTGTTAGATTTTCTCCTCAGATCTGCTTGCCACCCAGCACTCTAACATGTTAAACTTTGGCTTCCACACTTTAAGATAAGAAGTCATCTTTAGCATACACTGAAAAACACCTTGTACTTAAGTAAGCAGCTTCAAAGATGGGCAAATCTGCCCTTTCTAGATTCAGAAAACAACAGATAAGGAAGATAGTTTCTGCACCTTCAATTTAACCATGCTTTTTAGGGCCAAGGTTCCTTAACCTGCACTTGTGTGAAATTAAACTAGTCACAGAGCTGCATCAGGTCTCTCCGGCAGCTTCTGTCTCTGGCCCCGGAGGCTGTGAATCACAGGAGCAGGGCCATCTTTCATCTTCAAAGCACAATACATTATTGGGTTCATGAAGTATTAAGAGCTCCATGAGACCTATCAGATGAGGAAATTTGCTTTAACCATGGCCCTGGCTAAATTTTTCACCTACATAGAAAAAAGTACTGTTATTCTTTTATAGTTGGTCATGAAAAGTGAAAAATATACTATACATTTTTCAGTGTGATGATTTTTATTCTTATCTGAATGCCATTTTAAACAGTTTTTCTAAAGTCCTCAGGTTCTGCAAATTTCTCTCCATATTTTCTATTCTGCCCCCTTTTCCTATTTTATATTTTTACTAACAAGGTTGTCTTTTAAGGAAGTTAAGGAATGGCCCTATTACTTTTTAAATGCGCAGGAATTTCCCCTGAAGGCTTGGAGCAACTTGAGTCTAGCCTTGGAGTTTGAATGATTTAGTTTTCATGTTCCTACACTAAAGGTATCCTTTCGTTGGGGACCATTGCAGGCTATGAAAAAAGCCCATGACTGGGTAGAAGAGGATCAGACCTTGGTGTCAGTAGATGTAGCCAAAGAGTCGGAGGAGGAAACTAAGAAGGAAGAAAAGGAGGAGAAAGCTGAAGATCTGCAAGAAGACAAAAAGGAGGAAAAAAGAACTAAGACCATAGAGGTAAAATATTCAGCATTCTCTGCCAAAGAGTCAGTAATATTATATTAATTTTATTAGCAGCCTAATGTTAGCCAAGGAAAGGCCATTTCTTTTTATTTGTACTCTGTCCTCTTTATAAAAATATGAGTAGGAATGTAAAAAGTATTAAGATTTCCCTATGCCAAGGCAGTTGCTGGCTTAACATAGATTTTGCAGCTTTGCTCCATAGCCTTACAATTATAATTTAAAGGAGAAAAGATCTTTAAGAGCATAATTGATTTATCCTTAGAGGAAATCTCCATCTTACATGCAAATCTGTTACTATAAAATGTCTTTATGCTCCATAACTAATGAAGTAACTGAAGATTTTTCAAAATTTTTCATCGCTGTAGCTTTTATTCTGTAGCCTGATAAATTTATGTGTGCATACTTTATATCCTATATTCAAAAAAGTTTTCAATAATGGCACATTATGTTGAATTTCAATGTTAAAGAAAGTAACATTTTAAATTAGATCACTCTAAGGAAAAAAGTGTGTTGAGGTCAATTCATTCAGCCTCCCCTTCTACAGCTCTTTTTTAGCAGCTGCCTGTCCTGTGCCCAGCATGGCTGTGACTACTGAGGACACAGTTCACATCCTGGGGGCCCTGGCAGAAGTTAGATTTTATGACCGTATTCCACTTAGAAAAGTCCTAGACATGACTATCATCTTTGCATAAACCTTTTCATGTTCTATTTGTATTGTGTATATTACATTAGTTAAGGACTGGCAGTCACAGAGCACACCCATGGCCCTGGGCTTTGTCCCCAACACCAAAAAAAATATCAGTAATTAAAGCTGGGCATGGTGACACACATCAGCAATCCCTGCACTCCGGAGGGAGGATAGAAGGATTGCGAGTTTGAGGCCAGGCTGGGCTACATAGCAAGATCCTATCTTAAAAACACAATAAAAATTATCATCATTGTTATTTTATTATCATTAATCAGGTTTTAACGGCACAGTGTTTTTTTAAAAAAACATCTGCTCGGGCTGGGGATTTAGCTCAGCGGTTCGGTGGCCTGCCTTGCAAGCGCAAGGACCCAAGTTCAATCCCCGGTACCAAAAAAAAAAAACATCTGCTCAGTGAGTGATTTTCTTGTGTGTATTCACTTCAGGAAGTGTATATACTGTCCATCGAAAGTCTGGCGGAAGTCACTGCCCGTTGTATTGAGCAGCTTCATAAGGTCGCAGAATTAATTCTTCATGGACAAGAAGAGGAGAAACCAGCTGAGGATCAAGCAAAAGTTCTGATAAAGTAATTCTTATTTTTTCAAGTTTACATTTATAGTATATGCCATTCAAATACGCATGCGCGCGCGCGCGCACGCGCACACACACACACACACACACACACACACACACACACAACCTAGATATGTTCTATGGTCATCTAAAAAACAAGGAATACCTTAAGAAATGTATCATGTTAGCAAGAAGAACTGACCAGATGTTCTAGGAATTATTGATGAAGAGACTGAAGGGAAGACACACTAAGTCATTCAAGCTATGAAAGTGTTATTTTAATGATCAAGGTCTTGGGCATACAGACCTTTGAGGGTAATTATATTTTCAGTGTATCACATGAACAGAGAAAGGGCACACGAATGTGACTTCTCAGCTGCACAAAAGGAAGCAGACACCCTCCACCATGCCCAGGGACCCGCGCCAGCTCTACACACTCAGCACTCAGGTGACGGTGGCGGCCAGTGTAAATCAGGTCCCTGTGGATTGCATGTGTGTGTATATGTGTTGTCATGGTCCCTCCAGTAAAGTACAGCTGCTATCACTAGTCTATCTAGTGAAATAAATAAATATTACATGCGCGCACACTTAGGGAAATAGTTGATATGCAGTTGAACATGAATAGATCGTGAACCTTTATGTACATGGCTATCTGTTATGGTACAAAAAATTAGCACAGGTCCAAATAACCTTTTGTTACTGAGACAGAGGGAACCTGATGGAACTCCCACATACGCACGTATCTCTCAACTCTTCATTTACTCTGTCACTAACAATCTTTGCTTATTATTTCCTGCGTTGATAGGATAAGTTAGAGATTTAGCTGAAGTATCTTCCAAAAATTCAGGATTAGTGCGTTTGTGCTGATGGCATTTCTTTTCTCACTTGCAGAAATTTGTCATCTATTCTAGATTATCATATCTAAACATGTAGAAATCAAAGATGCTATAGAAATCCACATAATCCACCCCATAGTATTCCTAGAAATATTATATAATTATTCCAGCATATAGAAGGAAGAGGAAAGGATAAGTTGAAAATATCAAGGACAACAACTGGACACTTTTATCTTTGCAGCACTGTTGTGAAGGAAGAGGGCTGAAGCTAAGAAGTCCCTGAGTGTGCAGAAGCAGGGCCTTGATCTTAGCCCCTTTCTGATTCCCAGCCTTGATTGTCCTGACCTTGCCAAGCTGCACCAAGCCCTTGTTTTGTCTGTACAATGAGCACTCTCCACCCATCTGCCCAAGAACATAGACAGAATGTACAAAGGACCATAATATCGATTATGCCCAAAACAGGCTGTGAAGAGTTAACCCCATAATTGGCTTGTTTATAGAAGTAAGTCCTGCCAAAGCCTACGTCCCAAAGTCAAAATAACTCACACCCAAATTCCGTTCCCACAACTAAAACCTTCTAACTAGAAGGACAATACTCTAATTACAACCACACGTTTTGTCTATTCTTTTTTTTCTTTGGTACCAGGAAGCAAACTCAGGACCTTGCACTTGCCAGGCAAGCGCAGCACCACTGAGATAAATCCCCCGACCTATATTTTGTCTATTCTGTTCCTAATTTGAGAGAATGCTTTGTCTTGTCTTACGAGACTTGCTTACATTAATCTCCATAAAAACCACACAGACCACACATCTTTACATGAGTGCTGTCCTTGCATGTAGCTCACATTTACCCCAGCTGATTACCAATAAAAATCAGTGGCTTGGACTGGCCAGTGCCTTTGTCAGTCTCACCAGCATTGGTCATCCTGGCACCCCACTTTCTGTCTCTCTTAGTTCTGTCTTTTAGTCTGATTTCTCAGGCCTGTGTCATTCACTGGCAGGAGACTGGAGCCTACTGCAGAGGTTCCCAATAACTTTTCAAGGGTCCCCAGTAACAGTGGACCTGGGCAGTCTCCTGGCCTTACTCTTGATAATTTCTGCAAAAAGCTTCTGGATGGAAAGATGGCAGGATGAATGGATACAGCTTATAAGACCTGATGCATAAGTTATTCATATAGGGCCCCTGTTTGTTAAAAAAAAAGACTCCTGCTGACAAATCTTTTGACATATAAGATTCTTAACTTGGAGTAACTTTTCTAATAGCATTTTAATCACTATTCATAAAATTGGTATACAAGAAAATGATTTGTTATGTAATTCGTTTTTTGTTTGGTCATCATTTATAATGTTAGGATAAACATTGTTTTGGTTAAATATTTTTATCTCTCATGCTTTGTTTTCTTGGGGTAAAGTATTTGCAGTAGAATGGCCAAAGTAAACTTGAAATTTTTGATATGAATATTTAAAAACATATTCTTCAAGATCTTTATCTTGACCATCTAGTGAAAAACATAACCAAAATATAGAAGGCCCCTTAAGTTTAAATGCCATCTCTACAGTTTACTGTTGTATATCCTTGGCAGGTTACTTCTTATAGCTTTCAGTTTCTTCATCTCTGTACAGTGGGAATAATAATCTAAGGTACTGTAAAGATTCAATATGATTAGGAATATGAGTACTTAACATAGTACCCCAATGAATATTCAGTTTGTTTTGTTTTGTTGTTGTTTTTGTTTTTGGTACCAGGGATCAAACTCAGGTCATTGTGCTTATGAGGCAGGCTTACAAGGCAGACGGCAGCACCACTGAGCTAAATCCCCAGCCTATTCAGTGTTATTTTAAATGACCAATAATGTGGAGAAAAGCCACTTGGCAAGAGTTTATACCACTGTAGAGGTGGAACTCAAGCTTGGTATTTTCCTACACACAGTTTTGATTCTAAAAAGAGGTCAAATGAATTAGGTGATTATTCTTTAATTAAGCACGGAGAGAAAAACCAGAATTTGATCAAACTGTGACTGTGAATCACAGCAGATTGTTGAGGAAAACTGGCTGCCCTTTTGTGTAGAGCCACTTCAGACTCGTGTGTTGCCTTTTTAGAGTCATATGCATCAATATCACAGCTCCAACAATTGAAGTCTTTTACGTTACTGAAACCTTTGACCCTCTTTTTTCTTATTTCAGGTTAACTACTGCAATGTGCAATGAAGTGGCTTCCTTATCAAAGAAGTTTACAAATTCTTTAACCACTGTTGGGGTAAGATTACAGTCTGGATTATGTTTTTATCTGTCTGAGGGAAGTGGGCCTGTGAGGAGCTAAGAAAAGTGGGGGTGCAGTACCTTCTTGGATAGCTTCAGAATCAGCAGCTATGCCATGATGGATGCTAAAATCAGGCCAAGAGCACCTGCTCTCACAACAGGCTGCACAGAGCTCTGCTCTGACTGTGCTGTGGCCTCGACTCTGCTATTCCAGACTCCTGAGATGTTAGGTGAGGTGAGTTTTCAGGCTGTTGTAAGCCTTTTGTTGTTGTTGTGGTGGTGGTGGTACTGGGGTTTGAACCTGGGCCTTTGCATTGAGGTACACCTCCAATCTTTTTTGAGACAGGGTCTCACTAAGTCACTTAATTACTGAGGCTGAGCTCAAACTTGCAATCCCACCTCATCTTCCTAGAATGCAGGAATCACAGGTCTGCACCACTGTGCTAGGCTCTTATTATTTTAATTTGTCAAAAAAATGTGTCAAAATGAAGGTTGTATCCACTAACTTAATATGATTGTATAATAAAGTTCTGTTCATTAACATATCTATATATATATCTAAGATATTAACATATCTTAGTTACTTTAGTTAGTTACTTTTCTTGTTGCTAAGTCAAAATACCTGACACCCAAAGTTAAAGAAGGAAAGGTTCATTTTAGCTCACAGTTTGAAGATGTTTCAGTCCATAGTTGGCTGTCTCCAAGGAAGGGCAGCGTGGCAGAAGGCATGGCAGAAGATAAAAACAGTTGATGGCAGGAAAGGCAGAAAGCAGCAAGCAGCAAGCCTCCCTTCTTTTCACCCAGTCTATAAGCCTGTTGTTTGGTGCCACTGATACCCAGGGTGGGGCTTCCCATTTCCCTACCCAGGACTGTGCTAAACCAATCTGTGGGCTAATGTGATCACACATCTTTAATCCGTATTCACACCCCCTAGATCCAGCCACTTCTGAAAGGCCCCACCTGCAGGCATATGAGGCTCTGGGGAACATCTAGATTCAAGCCATAACTGTATATATTTCTAGCATCTCTATTGAAGTAATTAACTTAGAGTATTCTCATTTAATCTTGACCTTAGTCTGTTGTATAAGCCACATAAGTTTCTTTGCTCTATTGTGGCAGTTCAACTGAAACAAGAACAACAAAAAATGTTACAAATGGGCATAACAGCAGGGTTTATTTCCTGCTATAGTTACATGTTTCTTGGTTGCAAGCTTATAATTTTCCAGGACAACTGTAGCAAAATACTACAAAGGAAGTGGCCTTAACGGCTGAGATTGGCTCTCTCATAGTTGTGGAGTGTGAATTCCAGGTATCAGCAGGGCCACTTTCCCTCTGAAGCCTCCAAGGGTAGGTCTTTCTTGGCTCCCTCTGGCTTGTGGCCACAAGACTGCCGTCTTTCGCCATCTTCACCTGGCGGTTTCTCCTTGTGTCTGCACATCGCTTTCCCTCTGTGCACATCACTGTCCAGGTTTCCCTTCTCTAAGGATAGAGCCACAGTGTGGGTCAGGGTTCCGTCATGTGGACCACCCTTTCACTGTTTATACCCACAGCAACCCTCACACTAGGAGAGAGTGCCCGCTGAGGACTTCCGTGTATCCTTTCCGGGAGCACAATTCAATCCATAACAGGACGCAAGAGAAACAACTTGTACATGGTTTAAACAAAAACGGGGTTTGCGAAAAGCAATGGGGAGATTGTGAGCAGCTTTGGGGACCCAGCACCAAACATGTTGCTACTAATGTGACTCAATGTCAGCAATTCCCAGATTCCCAAGTCCTAAATGAGAGTTTACAGAGTTCATCAGAATGGGTCAGAGGTCTACCTCCCTGTCACTCAAGAATGACAAGGGGCAGGCTTGTATCCTGCAGACCTACCTGGCTGCTAGAGTGCACCCTGGCCAAGAGCAGTCCTCAGAAGGAGTAGGAAATAATTGTGGAGCTGATATCCCCCCAAAAGAAATCTCTGCCCACACTTCTGTAAGTGACTCAGTTAATAAGAAATGAATAACCATCCTAAGGAGCATAGTTTGCTATTCCTCTTTTGTAAATCAGCAGTTTTTCTGCTTTGACTGGCTTTAGGCCTTCAGCAATAGAACTTCACTGTGCACCAGCAGAATGATGGGGAGCTGGAGCTCCTGGTACGCTAGGCTGGATAAAACACCTTTGGGTGCTCAGCATTGTCTAAGTTACCTGGTGCGCATGGACTTGGTGGAAATGCTAGGTCCAGAGAGGTGTGCGGGCTCTGGTCACAGTGGGATGGCCTTGGCAGTCCAGGTTCCCAAGGCTCTATTCTCAATCGTTCCACACTTTACGAGGTAAGGAAACTGAGGCCTCTCAGATGATATCTCAACTCCCCTGGGCTGCCCATCAGGTGCATCAGACAGACAGCCAACTGTTTTCTGTTCTTCGATTGCCAGGGAATGAGGGTGTGTGTGTCCACCCATGTGGGCGATGTTACATGTGGTGTGATTTATGTTAAGCATTAATTCATCTCCATTACCGGGCAATATTCACAGCATTGTTTTCCAAGCTTTTAACATATTGTATTCCAGCGCAGTTTTTCTCAAACCTAAATGTTCGTACAAATCACTTGGAAATCTTTTTAAAATCAGAATCTGATTCATTGCATCTAGAATGAAGACAGCAATGCTGTATTGACAATAAGCTCTCAGGTGATCAGAATGTTCCTGATCCACAGCCCACATTTTTGTAGCAGGGCTCTAGCAGATGGGTGTGTGCTTGAACTTATATCTGTACCTAAACCCACATGTGTGTAAATGTTTGGATGCACAAAGTCAGGAATAGACACATCATTTTATAGAAAGAAAACTAGATCTCAGTTAGGGTTTACTGAAATGCCATCTCATTATAAACAATGCCCCCGATTTTGTGCTATGATGAATCATTTGTATCAAGTCATTGTTTCTGTTCTCTAAAACAGCCATTATTCATAACTTGAAGTTAATGAGTGTATATTGCTCTCCAGGCTCTATTTAAATTGCTTGTACATCTCATTGATTCTGAAAACCACTGTCATTTTATTGCCCTCATTTTGATTATATTTTAGAGGTTTATTGATAATCAAGTAAACATGAAAGCAAATACCATAATGGATTTTCTGGTTACTTACTAAAATGACTGGGTTTTTAAGGAGTCTTTTTTCCCCCAAGATTCCATTATGGTTTTCTCTGTAAGATATTACTTTACTTTCAGTAGAGTAATATCAGTGAAAGTAGGCTGCTCTGGGAAGATACATTTAATGTATATGCTTTTTGTTTGCCATAAACTCTTCCATGATAATGATGGAAACCGCCTATTAAGATTGCCCTCTCTCTCAGTCACTTTAATGATTTATTGCCGAAGAATATTTTAGATAGGGAAGACTGTTGATTAAAAAACCAGAAGCATAAATAAGGATAATAATACATTAGCTCCCAGTTTTTGAACACCTACTTTATATTGTACTTTGAACATCTTACTTTACATATATTCATGTTTTTCAAACTTGGATCTACAAACCTGATTGCAAATTATACTGTAGGTTGGCTTAATTTTGCTACTATTCTGGAAGATGCCCTATAACTATGTATTCATGCTTACATTTAAAACAGAAAGGAAAAAAAAAAGAAAAGGACTAAACCAGAGCTGAGATTAGAGTAAGTAAAGGTCTTAACTATCTACAAAATTTGAGGAGCCCCCCCAAAAATTAGAAAAACAACTCAGTAAGTAGATAGATATCTTTCTGCAATATTTTTAAAATAAAAAGGCAAAAAATATCATAATATATTATCAAAAATTTTAAGTAGAGATAGAATCTAATCTAGTACTTGCACCATTTAACCTAACATCACAACTTTAAATAGTTGAAAAGATGTGAGTGTACATTCCCAGCTACTGTGACCTTAGAATAGCTCAACCTGTTTTCTTACTTTGAAATTGAAGTCATCATGCTACACACCTGCCGTTAGGATTTCTGTTGAAATCACATAGGGGAGCCACCAAATATGGGGCCTGGATTATAGTAAGCATTGCAGTTCTCCTTCGTCTCTGAGAGATCCCTGAACAAAGCCAGTATCTTACATTTTATGTGGCAAGACTTAAGTTATGAGCCGCTAATCTGTCAATTCCATACTTTTGATTCCACAGAGTAACAAGAAGGCTGAGGTCCTTAACCCCATGATCAATAGTGTATTGTTAGAGGTAAGTGGCCCCAGGAGAGAAGGTATTTCTGAATCAAAGCAAATGTGAGTGCTAGGTTTTTTTTTCTTTTTTTGTGTTTCTCCCAGGCAGCAAGTGTTATTGCAATACTTCTAAATCTTATCGGCAACAATGTTTTCTGAGTACATTTGTGTAGCTCAACCAGCTGTAAACCCTCTGGTGAAACAACAATACCTAATTTTCAAGAACTTCTGATTATAAAAAGAAACGCTAGGCTTGCACGTTATTTCTATCACAGTTTCCTCCAGCCGAGATAGATTTCTGTTGCCAAGTTTGACACTAGATTTAACACTGTGCTTATTGGCTGCAATGAAGGATTATTGCTCAGTGGTGATTTTCATAAAAATGGGCATTCCCTCCCTTCACAATAACCTATTGTTCAGCTGGGTCTAAGCTCTAGGCTGGCAAAAAAAAATAATAATAATAACAGAATGTGTGACCTATGCCCCTTCAGTGACAGGGGTGCCATCCCCTGTGACTGCTCACTCCACTGCGAGCCTGCACATCTGGACTTTGTAGTTCCAATGTGAAGCTGCCCCAACACTGGTGTGGCTTTGCTAATAACAGTGATAGAAGAGAGAAGAAAAAAGCCCAGTGAAACTTCTCGTCTTGGAGTATGCACACTGTGTGCTACCTGTGGTTGTTAGAGGAAGCTCTTCCACTGAGTTATAGGCAAAACGTCTGTACCACTGGCACTCACCGAACCCACAAGACGTTCACAAGCTGAGACCACGCATGGGCAATGCTTATCCAGTAGGTTTTGCTTTCTCAAGTAGCTGCCAATGGCAAAATGTGGAAATGACAAAACTTTCAAAAGGCTATGTAAATACTTACAGCAGTGTATTTGGGTATCCCTTACTATTAAGGTACCCAGGGACAAGCATAAAAGAATGACAATGCCAAGAGCTAATCCACTGTCACACGGTACAGTGGAGTCCACCAGAGGGACAGGAGCTGTAGGGACAGGTCCAGAGGAGCAGGTATGCATAAGAGCAAACCCTGGAAGTTACAAGTTAAAAATGCCTGATTAATTAGACTACCTCATCAGTCATCACAAATATGAGGGCAAGGTTTCCCCCAGTAAAAAGTTGCACATTTTAGTTATCTTAGACTTGATTGATTGATTGATTAATTGCAGTACTGGGGATTGAACCCAGAGTCTTCACACTGAGCTACATCCTCAGCCTTTTTTGTTTGTTTGTTTTTATTTTGAGATAAAGTCTAAGTTTACCAGGCTGGCTTTGAACCTGGGTTCTCCTGCCTCAACCTCCCAAGTAACTGGGTTTATAGGCATGTGCCACCACATGCAGCTGCTTTATTTTATTATTTATTTTACTCTTCCGGGGATCAAAACCAGAGCCTTGCTCATGCTAGACAAAGTGCTCTACCACTGTGCTTTATTCTTAGGCCCATCCTAGACTTTAAAGGGGCTCTCTGTTTAATACAGCTTAGTGCTGTACCACAGATCAAAAATAGTAATATCAGATATACAAAACAAGCAAAAGATATCGACATGCCTGGGTGGGGAACAGTGTTCAAGGGTTTGGCCTTGAATAATTTACAGTAATATCTCCAGTTAGCTTTCTGTAGACCATTCTGTTTATATAGCTGTAGGTTGTAACATGACCCCCTTCATAATGGGCTTTCATAGGGTTTCAGGGCAGTAGGACTGATCTGGGAAAGGGACAGATAAAACTGGACATTCTGGGTCATGGATATATACAGACAGATGTGCCTTAAAAGCTCATAGAAATGGTTTGCCTCGTTTTGAGTAAATTCTGTTAATACAGATAGTGAAGAGCTAGATATACTCTATCTAAAAAAATGTGTTTTCATTTTCTACAAGCACCAACAATACAATGTCCCAATTTGGTAACATTCCCTTTATTCTGGGAGAATTGTCAAGATTGAACTACAGAAATAACTCCACATCTACATTTTTCCTCTCATAGGGCTGCAATAGCACGACATATGTCCAGGATGCCTTCCAGCTACTGCTGCCTGTTCTGCAGGTCTCACACATCCAGACCAGTTGTTTGAAAGCACAGCCATGACTTTGCACAGCACTGTCTAGTTAAAGGAAATGGCAGGCAACAGCGTTTCAGAGTGCACCTTAAAGGGGATGTTTCTGATGCAACTGGCCAGGCCACCCATCCTAGAACACTACAAGCAGTTTTGCACAGGCAATGTTGAGAGTGAAGGTTTAAAAGGGGTTAACGTTTTTCTTATTGTATATGGTTGTTTTTTGCTTTCTTCATGTTAATTTAAACTTACATAGTTTATATTGAAAGTTTCCTTTAATCTAAAATTCATTCACATATGTACATGTCTGTTTTTCCTGGTCAAGCATGCTATATTTAGAGATTCATAGGCAGACCCTGGATTTTTTTTAAAATCTTAAATTTGTACCTTTAAATGTCACATCAACTTTTATACTGAACTTCATTTTGTTACCTAAATGTCATGGGCAAACGTAACACTACTTTTAGATTTTTATCTGTTGTGGTATAAGAGAAACATGATATTTCTTTATGATCATTCATTTTTACAGCAAGCATTTACTGAGCACCTACTGTGTGCTCACAATAAAGGAGTACAGTCTCACCCCAGGTGAGATGGATACTCTGAAAGAGGATTTTACTTCGAAATACTAATACATTTTCTAAATCTTAAACTTTGGAGAACAAGGTAAATTGGTGCTTTTAAAGATGTTCTACCCTTTAATTTATTTTGTTTTTCTTGAAGTTTTTAATCCCAAACTTTAAATACAGGGTAAAAATATGTGTGAAAAGGGGTATTAAAGAATTTAGTTTAAAATTTACTTCTTACGAACATAAGCACGTGATGGCATAATTTCAAAGCTTATAAGTATTCAAATGGAAAATAGGAGGAATTTCAACATAGGAGAAACCCAGGACTGCAGTTTACAAATCTACTACTACACTGATCATAACCACTGGAGGCAAAAGATGAAATACTGGTGTGTGGTTAACTGGTCGGTGTGTTGATCTGGGAGGCTGCACAGAAGGCCTTCCTTGTATCTGGGACATCACAGTGGACACTTCGGAGCCCCACACACTCATGACAGGTGACACTGTATGATGCTCCTGTCCCACAGCACGGCTGACCTCCCTATGTGGAATGTCAGAAGAGATCTTACCCAGTGGCTCTCTCCAAGGCAAAGAAACCTTGTAGTTTTGCAAGGGCGAAAATCCCTTGTTTACGTTTGCTTCTGTTCCCCTCCTAGAGTCAGCTGCCTTTGTTCCCTACAGACCCTGTAGGGTTATTTTAGTATCATCCTGCTCCTCATTAGCATTTCATTGTCTTTGTTCTGTATTTCATTTGTATATCTCTGAAACAGCCAAATAGAAAACATCAGAACAATTTCTTTACAACTTGGAAAAATAAGATTCTCTGAGGAATCAATTAAAGATGTTTCTTTTCTCCTTTTTCTGATTGCCTAATGTGTTTCTGCTATTAAGTCTAGAGATGATTAACTGATGAACATGTTACTCTTTCCTCCTCCTACATTTTAGAATTTTTATGTATACAGCAGAGGAAAGGAATTCAATTTATAATTTCTCACATGATTTTTTTTTAGCATCATTAGCTAGAAATGTGAAAGAAAAACAAATATTTTCAAGGGAGCTACATTCCCAGACTTAGATTTTAAGCCTAACTACACCCACTTTATGCAAAGGAAATATTTGATATAAAATAAAGTAGAAATTTTTAAAAGAACAAGAGAATTATTTAAAAATGTCAATATTACTGACATTGCATTTACCTTTTAATAATAATGTCAAAGATTGCCAAGTGAAGACACAGACTGAGAAATGATTCCCTGGTTCAAGGTCTGTGACTTACATTATTTAGGAGAGAATAATCACTCAATATTATTCCACCCTCCAGGATTTCTCTCTTTCAATACCAGTTTTCACCATCCCTTTTAAATAATTGCTTCTTGCCTCTCCTTTGAAAGCTAGTAAAGCGGAGAATCCATATCTGGACAAATGTCAGTTAGTGACTGAATGAATGATTTAGCAGGATCACCATAAAGTTTTGTACTCCTTCAACAATTCTTTACATAAATTGGGTCCATTGCGTTCTATGCAATTATTCTGAACAAGCATGCCAGCTTTTCTCTTACATCAAGTGTAGAAAAGTTCTAGTCTAAATAATGAATGTAGCCCTGTGCCTGTGCCTGATTAAATAAAAAGCATCCAAAACATATTTCAAATTCAAAGTAAAATGCATTGAAGAAAAATTGCTTTGGGGTATTCATATGCGCAGATCTGAATGGCAAAATTGAGTCCCAAATCTTAAAGCATAAGCCTAAGCTTCCATGTTGCATTCCACTGAGAACAGAAACCTCCAGGGGTCTCACTGGGCTGCACATACAACTCGGAGTTCAATGGGTGGTGGGGCTGAGGCTGGGGCTGCTGCGGGAATAAGCAGAGGTGTGCACAGCCTGAGCAACACCACCTCAGGGAGGGATGGCGAACCTTTGAAAGCTTTCAGTGATATAACAAACAGCACTTGTGCCATAGGTTTGCCACCCCACCCTGAAGTCTGTGCTCTGTGCAGACTTCACAGGGGATGGATGGCCGGGCAGACCCAGCCCCAGGGGGTGAGGTTGCCGAAGGAAAGGGCTAAATAGGGTGGGGCATTTGATTCAGTAGCTTGCTGTGCCTACCTGGCAAGCACAAGGTCCTGAGTTTGATCCCTGGTACAAAAAAAGGAAAAAAAAAAGAAAGAAAGGGCTGACTACCCAGTAAAGGCCTGAATGCAGAAATGGGAGCATTTCCTTGTGCTTCAGAGTAACCAGTTCCCAGAGATGCTCATATATCCAAAGTCAGCTCTGCACAGGCTCACCTTGCTGAGATCATGTTAGAAACAAAGCAGACTGATCCGAATCATTGGTCCAGGGTCAGAGAAGCAATTTGGCAAAAATTAGATATAAACATTGCTCTCTTAAGAAAAAAGTGTGTGTGGGTGCGTGTGTGCACCGCACGCGCGCGTGCTGAACAGATGGGGTTGATGATAATGCATAGCTTCAAATGCCATTTAATTCTCTAAAAGCATTTATTTTACAGGGTCAATCTACTTTCTTGTATAATGTAAAAATTGCCCTTTGATCTTCCTCTGAAGTGTGTCTTACATTCTAATATTCAGATCCAGGCTTCAACTTGTTTTCTTAAAATTATCATGTTTCTAAAAGCGCATCACAAGAGATCATACTGAAAATCCATCTTAGAACTGCAATTTTGTCTGGTTTTGTAGTTGATCAGAATTCATAATGCCATAGGAGTGGATTCAGACCAGCCGTTCTTCACATAAAAGAAAACAAATGATGTGGTTAACCATGCATTTTATTTTTCTGGATATTTCATCCCTTAGGCAGTTTTATGTTCATCTTCTACATGTTCACCCGTACGAGATGGTCTGCTACCCTTCCAAGGACAGATAGCATTGTATTCATTTGTGTCCTTAGACCCCGGAAATAGTGAATTATTCTACCCTTTCAGCTTTTCCCCTGTAGTGATGATTAAATTATTACAACCCAAACAGTAAAAATGTATTGATAGAATTCCTGCTATTTCTGGTGTCCAAGATCATCATAGTCTGGGACTAGATGCTATTTGTGGAGGGTTAGAATTTTGTGTTGGAATTTAAACTAAATTTACCTTTACCTGGATCAGAGAGGATTTTTCTCTGCATGAGCTGTCAGCCAAAAAGCAATAGGATTATGTCAGCCTGTGGTCACTGGATTCACCTGACAGGTCTGCCTCTTCTATTTGCCTCAAAGGAATTTCTGTGCTGCAGAAGAATAATATGCATAGTTCTTAAATGCTTTCACTGAGTGTGGAAATTTGGGGTGATTTAGAGCCCTGTCCTGGCTTTCACGACCACCGGGCTTCTCAGATGCTATTTGGAAGAAAAAAACAGTAGAGAAGCCAAGGCCAGATGGGTGAAACCTTGGCAAAATGCAAAGCTAAGCTTGTGCCTTTGAGTCTTTGCCAGCTTTATTCTTTTCCTCTCAGGATTTTTTTTAACAGTCATAAGTACCTGGCTTCCAGAATTAGCTTTTTAACAGTCTGCCCCAATTTTCTCTATATCTTGTTTCCCTTCTCGTTTTCTACATTTATACTCTCCTCATTTATCAGAAAACCATCCATCCAGGAGACTTCAATCATAATAACATATATTTACCAGGTTCTGGATTCAGTGCTGAGTGTTTTATATCCTTTTTCCATTTCACCTCCATAGTCACTTTATAGGTGAATACAATTTCAATCCCCACTGCCCCAAGAACACTGAAATCCAGAGAGCTTACACTGCTGGTCCAGAGTTACACAGTACAACAGAGCCAGAATGCAAACCCGAGTCAGACCTGAGTAGCATTTTGAACTATTACACAGAGCCTCCCAACAGAAGAAAAATGTAGCATATTATTTTTAGAGACATCTGAACCCTGAGATTTATATCCTTAGCTCTGCTGAAGCTGTGAGCTAGATTTGTAGCTGAAAGCTTTGGTTGTCAGCTTTGGTTGTTTCCATGCAACTGAGAACAAACTGGGACTGAAGAGACACAAAATGAAGCCACAAGGGGCTCTTTGGCCCCTGGGTGGTTCTCACCACAGGCTTCTCTTAGCACTTCACAGGCATTTATATCATAGCAGCTCAGCATCCTGTCCCACTGGTGCCTTTGATGGCTCTGAAACGGCTCCATTTTGCCTTTCCCCTCTCTCCCCCTGCTCTGATGCCAGGGAAGCCCATTTGAAACTTGACACCATTCCTGAAAACCCTGAACTCTGCCTATTTCCTAGAGCATTTTTTAAAAATGCTTTTCCTGCCTTGAAGATTACACTTGTCTAGGCAGCCTTTAAACTGAATCTTCAACACTTAAATTCTATGAGGTGCTAAAAACCCTGAACTTGGTGTCATTCCCGTTGAGGCCAGGAAATGATGATGGTGATGAGGAGGAGGATGACAATGACGATGATGGCTTGTGTAGTATATATGCTACCTGCCAAAGCCAGCACTATGATGGTATATCTGTTGACTGTGAGCTTAACTATGTTTCACACACCTAGTATAAGCACTGTACCTTTTTTATTTCATTTAATCCCCATATCAACCTTATGAGATAACCTCTATTATTAACTCATTTCACAGAGGAAAATGCAGCTCAAGGAGATGAAGTAATGTGCCTATGGTTATCCAACTACTAATCAGAACTGCTGGGTTTTACATGCAGACAAAGCCCTTGGACAACAGATACCTGCTCATCAATAGAAAATTTGCTCATTTCCCCATAGGTTGAGTTCTCTTTTACCCAATCACTGGGCTCCCCTCTCTCTATCCTGTGACCTCAAGCAGAGACAAATTGCTCCCCAATCTCCCCATCAGAAGGCTAACCACATCTTCCCTGCCGATGCCTCTGATCCCAGGAGAGAGTGGGGAGCCTACAAACATATTCTCATGTTCTAAACTTTATTTGTTGAGTGATTTGTTGCTCCCTGAAAACTGTGGTCACCTTTGCCTCTTTTACAGGGAAGACATTAGAGGAAAGTACGTGATTTGGGGTGGGAAATCTCACCATTGAGAAGTGATAAAGGACAAGAAGCCAAATGATAAACTGCATAGCAGAAAAGACTCTGGCCAATTTTCTGTCAGAAAAATTTACCTGGTCCTAGAAAACATCTTAGGACTACTTTTATTCCAGACACTCTTGCAGCTCCTCCTTCACTCTTTCCAGGCTTTATTCAACAGCCTTCTGAGTGAGGCACCTTTCCTACTTCATGTTCTTATCTTTGGGACATATCACTATCTAGCATCCTTTATATCCTACTTAGCTTATCTACTACTTATCTGTCTTCCAGGAGGTAATTTCCTTGAGAGCAGGGATTTCTGTTTTGTTTGTCACCATTTTCCCAGCACCCTAAGCTGTGTTTGACACATAGTAGGTGCTCAAAGACTATTTATAAGAGGAACAGATAAATCAACCTCTTAGATGTACAATCTGTAAATGCTGAATGAGAGAAGTAGCTATTTGAAAGGCTAATTAATGGGGTATGGTTGAGTTGTGTAATAAAATGTTGACTATGGAAGTAAACTGTGTCCGTTTGAATAATATTTGGTGTGGTACAAAGGATATTATTTGGGGATTTAGAAATGCATAGTTTTTTTCCATTCAAATCAATGGACTTTATGATTTTCACTATGAAGAACTCTACGCAGCTTACCCTTCAAAGTAGGATAAACTAGTGAAAATTCAGAACCACACAAATAAGTTAACTATGACATACAATACTATGGAATATTATGCTACAATGGAAAAAACATAAAAGGAATGATAATTGCTCTCTTCTGAGCTCCCAGATTTATCACTGATACTTATCTAAAATAACACCTTCATATGCACAAAAATACTACATACACATTTAGTCCAAACTATTAGCACAAAAACCTATCAATAGTGCTATAACCAAAGGGAGAAGAGGATGGGGGGGCATCAAAATTTGACAGAATAATAAAAAAGGACCCCAGTGTTATCTTTAATATTTACATTTTCTGTGCTTGCTTTGGCAGCACATATACTAAAATATTTACATTTTCTGCATGATAATATATTAACAGGTGACTTATGTAACAATTTCAAAAAAAAAAATCAAAACAAGAAGCAAAAAACAATAACTTCCAACTTCTAACAGATCAGAGGATAAAGCCCTTCCAGAGATGAAAAGTACACAGATTATTTTTTAACACAAGAGCCAGAAGCATCTAAATGATCTGAATTTCTTACAAGTTTCTAAGAT